ATAAAGTCTTTGTAAATAGGGAAGGGTGGAGGGGGTGAAGGGAGGGCTAGAAATGGGGAAAAAATAAGAACCAAGATGCATCATGTAAAGGTACAAGTTCCCAATGAGAAAAGTAATTGTGTTGTATACCTAAAATGTACCAATAAAAGAATTTAACAACAACCAAAAAAAGAGGTAATTTCCAGTCCTTTGTTAAGATAGCAGTCAAAATAAAAAATAGAAGTTAAAGATAATTCTAAAATCATGGTATTTGGAATGTTTGGGGTTTTTATTTATCTGATCATTTTAGTGTGGAGGGAACAATTGCACTCATTACAACTGTTGCCACCATGCTGAGAATGTGGGAGAAGCATTGCCAGTGGCATGGACTATGGAAAATTGAGAATCTCATGGGTTAATATTTTCCCCTTTTGAAATTTGGACCCCAAAGGGCTTCAATTCAGGGAAGTGGGAATATTATTTATAATGCAGCCTATTTGGTAATACCTCCAGAGAACTATAATAATGAACCAGAAAGAATGTCCTTTAAGATTGAAAAACCTCAGTAAAAATTAAAGAATTCAATGGACATTAGAAAATGCTGGGGGGGGGGGTATTTATACCCATAAAGGTGTATCTGCTGTTCCATTTTCCTTCAAGTGCCCTTTGGGCTTGGAAATAAATAAACCTATAAGGTATGTAAAAACTTTATCCATGTCTTTAAAACTTCTTAAAGTGATGAGTGAGCTCATGTGAATGACATTCTATTCAACAGCACTTTACAATGAATATTAGATATTTATGACCCAGCCATGGTGCAGAAGCACATAGCTGCCCCTGTCCTGAATGCAGGTGCTCAATCACAAGACTCAGTTTAGGAAATACTTGAGCTATGATGACAACTCCCAGCCCTCTGCTTATACTGGGCTTCATGAAGAATTACTTTCTGAACCTAAATGGCTAGCCTATGATGCCAAAGCTTCAGTGGACTGTGTTGTGCCCAGATTATGAAGTCCCAAAGGCTACCAGGGAGCCATTTCCGATGTAAGCACATGAGGGTCGTTTATTCAAGCTTAAGCAGGGACTCTCAATTGTCACTGACACAGTGGATAGAGATTGAGAGCCCCGAGTTCCAAATTAGCGGGGTTTTTATAGAGGTTACAGCAAGGTTTGGAGATTTTTCACCC